GTCACGCGTAGTACCTGCCAGACGTTCGAGTTTGGTCGTGCCAAGGCAGGCAAGCAAGCAAGGCAGAGGCACGCGGGACCGGCGCTGATTGGTGCCGACGCCGACTTGGGCCATGTCCTGCACAGTGGCCCTGCGGGCCGCTTCAGCCTGATGAACATGGGAATGAATTACTCGGCGTGGGCGCACAACACCCACGGGCGGCGGCACGACGGCCTCTGGACGCCTTGCACGAACGTGGCCTTCATCATGTGCGCCCTGCGCGGCTGGCTTCCGGGGCAGGAGTCGCGCCGCACGTTCCACATAGCGACGCCTGGGCGCGAGCTGATGTCGCGCTGCCGACCCTGTGGTGAGTGCCTTCCGGGACTCCACTGGGACGAGTGCTTTATTGTGCGGGCCGAGTACTGCATGGTGGACTCGTTCTGCTCAAACGGCGCCGAGATATGGGGCTCCACCGGCAACTGGACGTGCGTGCCGCGCAGCAAACAACGCAAAGTGGGGGATCGTGATGCTGTGGGTGGTAAGTGATGTCGAGTGATAAACGTCTCAACACACATCAAAGTGGGGGGCCAAGGGGCCGTTCCTTTTTCGACGCGAAAATCGGCATTTTACCAATCCCGACCACCTCCCTCTGCGCCGACGCGGCTAGCCTGCAAAAGCCAAGGAATGCAAACCGTGAGCGGCCCTAGCGGGTCGCGATGCGTCGCACCGACCGCCATGCTTGCGACGCTGCTGGTGCTGCTGGCTGGTTTGTCTGCTGTCCCGCACATTGCGGGGAGGCAGGAGGCTAACGATTGGCCACCCAGTCTGATGTCCACGATGTCGGGATATTGGGAAAGCATCACCGCAAAGATGTCCCAGATGCAGAGCAATGCACGCGGGAACATTATCATGGACCAATTCGTCATGGAGGAGTTCGAGCCTCCCCCGGGCATGCCAAACGGGACAAAGTGCTCGTACATCATGCCGTGGATAGAGAATGCGCTAAACCAGGTGATCAAGGAAACGATCCTCAGCGTCACGGAGCATCCCGTACTCTCGAGCAAGGGTCCCGGCGCGCTGCCCATCGCAGCCTCTGTAAAGGTCGGAGTCCTGACCTTGGCGGTCTCCAACCTGACAATCATCAAGATGGACCTGGCACACATCAGGATGGGACAGTGCGTGAAGCCCGACATTGTGCAGGACATGGTCAACCACGGCATCGATAGCATTTTGCACCCGGTCTCTCACGGCAAAGAAGATGTCTCGAGCGCATGGGACATCATGTCAAAGCCTGGCCAATACGTTAGCGACTTCGCCACCGGCGTGAAGGGCTTCTTTGTCACGGGATTCGAGACGGGCATCTGGACGCAACAATTCACTAAGTACTCGCCTCAATGGCTGCCCGACGCGTACGTCGTCCGGATTGAGGAGGTCAACCTGACTGAGGGGCTTGTTGCGCACTACGATGGCGTCCCCGTCCCTTTCACCGGCGGCATGGGCGCCTTTGATGTCGGCGCCAGGTCTGACACACGTGGTTGGCTCGAGGTGACCGCCTTCTACTCACGGCCAGACATTCTGGGAGGGACGACAGGGAACGACAACGGAGAGGTGGTCGAGGGTGGCGGCACGAAGATCACAGCTTGCAAAGGCAACTTCAACCTCGGCCATACCGATCTGACATGGCCCATGGGCGTGCACGTCGACGACATGCCCATGCCTGTTGCGCTGGACCTCGGCCCGCTCATCTGCTGGGGACCGGCAGCGGCGCTTGGTCCGCTGAGTGGCTTGGTAGGCCTCGATTATGAGACGGAGACGAAGCTCAAAGCAGCAGAGGCCAGCGGCCAGTTTGTCGGTCTCGCGCCAATGCTGAATACCATCCTGCGCAAGAATCTTCCTGTACGCGCTTGCGGTCCAGCGCCGACGCCGCCCCCTACCACCCACTCCCAAACCCTCCCTGCCTGCAGGGGAGCGAATACGAGGGGTGGTACTTGGGAAAGTCCGTGTACGAGGGGGGGCAGAAACTCTCCACAAAGTTCCACGCCTGGGCCTACGGCAAGACGAAGCTTCAAGTGTGGCCACCCCCGCCACCCCCGCCACCGGAGGAGGGAGGCTGGTTCCTCGGGTGAGAGAGATCCCCGGGAAGTTTGACGCCCTGGGGCATCGGGAGAGCTGATATCACACTCAGACTGATCGCTCGCACACGTCTAGCTTTCGTACGTTTGTCTTTTTGTGTGGGTGTGCGGTTGCCGATGTTTTCGTTTTTTTTTCCTCGCCCGACGACGCGGACATACAGCATACACTCTCACGACTCAGTCTGAAACGTCTCACGCGCTCGTCAGCCAACCGCACAAGTGGCACTGCTTTCGGCTGGCCTGGGAAGGGTCCGTGTCGATAAATACCTGGGCGGCTCCAAACTCGCCAG